CCTCCCCTCCCCTCTCCTCACCTGTCGCAGGTGACCCTTGGCCCTGGACATCTCCTCCTGCATCGTCTTCCTCTTGAACTCCTGTAGATTTTCAAAGTACTCCTCGACGTCCCGCTCATCCTGGCTGAACAACGTATCGAGGACAATCTTTCGTCCGCAGACATCGATGGCCGTGCTGAAGTACTTCTCCAGCCTCCTGCACGGCGCGTCAAAATCCCTCTCCTCGTCGTCGTCGGCACCGGACCGCCGATTCAGGAAGAGCAAGTCCCAAATGTTGCCCTCCTCGAACTCGGACAAATCCGGGAAGCAGGCCGCCAAGACGTCCGACACGCATGTGAAGTGTTGATGGATGTGTTTCAGGTCGCTGACGGAGAAGAGACCGGCCCAGCTCACCTCGGTGTCGCCGACTTCGGCAACTTCGGCAACTTCGGCTTTGCGTTTCTGCCGCTGCAACGTCCGGTTGTGGCAGGTGACGGCGAACTTGCACTCGATGACGTTCCACTGCACGATGAAGCCCAACTTAAACGCCTCGGTTTCTTCAAATATGTTGCTTTTCACGGCCACCCAGCCCTCCAGGCTGTCCAGCCGCTCGCACTCCACGTTATTCACGTTGTTCATGTTAAAAAGAGACGTTTCTCTTCGGCCTCCGAGGAGCTGCTGGCTCTGTTTACAACGTCCGCCATTTGCGTGACGTAGGATGCCTTCAAGCGCCTTAAAAAAAAATAAAACTAAAAAAAAAAATCTTTCGCGAAACTGAACGTTGGACGGTTAAATGTAACGTTAGAAGACGTTGTTATCGCGTTTTCTTTAAGTTTAATGTTGAGATAGAGGTTGCCATGGGAATTATTCAAACAATTTAGTTAAAATATTAGGTATAACACCACTTCTGTATAATATTAGTACAATACAATACAATAGTAATCTTCCTGTGAGTGTACAGCAGGTCAGCACCGGTTGATATCTACGTCGAAGTAACAGTCACAAAAAAGTGCCAGTCATTCTTTCGATCATCAAAGTACTGAAAGTGCAGACGAGGAAATAATTCAGATTTCTGATTAGAAAACGTTAGAATGGCGGCTTTTCCTGAGTTTACTAGGAGCCCTGAAGGCAGCACAATGTCTGTGGTATTCTGCTCAACTTTGACCTTTAAATCACATGTTCGGGGATTTCCACCTCCTAATATCAGGGCTAAGAACAATATTGGAGCTGAAACTGGAACTAATGACACATTGTTTACAGTGTTAACAAAACTCAGGCCTCTAATTAGTCTAAAGTGTGTTTTATTCAACAATTTAACTTGAACTCAGCATGGATGTTTGACAGGCCTGGGACATTTGAGCAGTCTGAGTCCCCACAATCTATTTTTGTCACAGTATCTGGGTGAGGGTGGGACTGCTGACAGAGTTGGCTTGTCGGACACCATTGCTGGGCTGAAATGGTTGTTTAGAACAGACTGGTTTACTGATTTATCCAGGTAAATTTACCATCAGCTGCTCATTCACTATCAGTAATTTAATTAACAGATTGTTCTGCACATGTTGGTTGGTTAAAGTATCAACTATGTAATTTTGAGATCTAATATTGTGTTCATTCTTTTAAATTATTGTTTCGTGCAGGATTTATAGACTTATCCTAGGTTGTTGTTGATCTATAGACTAATGTAGAGCTGAAAGGGCTGACTTAAATTGATCTTGTACCAGAATCATAAATGGATAGTCAACCTCTGTCCTCCCACAGTCATTCTCCTCATGGACCTGTACGATATCAGAGGAGGCAGACTGGATGTGATTGCAGAGGAGGCTGAGCATCAGGAGTTAAGCAGAGAGTCCACCACTATGGAGCCCTACAATGTGGTAACAGACAGAGGAGGGAGGGCGACCAGAGATGTTTCAACCTTCCAGAGGTTCTCCGTCGACACCAACGAGTCCCTTCGTTTCGAGCCCTGCGAGGACAGCTCTCCGTCTCCCACTGGGGCAGAAGATGGATTTGATGATGATGATGTGTTTAAGGAGGGAGAAACAGAGGTGGGGACACTAACACAGCTTTGGCCCTTGATGTAAGAGTGAAATGTTTCAAGGATTCAAGGTTATTTTATTGTCATTTATCAATGCAAGGTTGTGGAATTATATTTATGTATAGTTCCTTTTATGCTTCTTTTAAAAAACAAAATAGAAATGCACCAATGATTTCACATAATTCATAATTTGTATGGTTAATTGTTGTGATATTTGATATTTCCTTACTTTTTTTACCTCTGTTCAAACATGGTGAGATTTAAATAACTTTTTCTTGGTGGAGATTGTAGCATAAACACAGAAGCAGCACCCCTAGGAATGTAGAAATTAGTGAAAAAAACAGTAAAATTCTTGACAACTATACATTAAAACGTCCATGTGTACATGAATTTCCCTAACAATGGCCATTACGTTACTCTTAAGGACTGTGGACTGACATTTATAATTTCAGATTTCTTTGTAGTGGATTCCCAGAAGATGGAGCTGTCCACATAAAGGTTTGAAAGCCACAGATGTGACCGGAAAGTCCTCACAGCACAGGCTGAAAATAGTTTATGTTACTGGTTTGAATTTAAAAAAAAGAGAGGGTAAAAGTATGACTTTCTATTGTTTTCAGAGTGAGACTGTCACAATCAGGAATCGGTTGCAAGGGAAGGTTGCTGAGATGGAGAGCTTTGCGGGTCATCTGGAGGAAATCTTTCTCACTGTGGAGGTAAATGTCACACTTAAAAGACTGAAACAGATTGTTGGAATGTGCTTTGACATTGATTCATTATTTTGTTTTCATTTGGGAATGTTTCTTGTTATTATTATTTGTTTTATTTTTACAGAAATAAAGTTCAGGATGTCAGATTTTAGTCCATGTGTGTCCCCTGGAGGGCCTGAAGTCAACACATCCCTTTCATTCTTTGCCTCCCTTGATCTGTTATCCTTTCCTCATGTTTCCTTTCTTTACACATGTTGTTTTTAATGCTTAACAATTGTCTGAATCTCTAACTGTGCCACTGTGATTCTATCAATGTATATACAGGAGAATTTTGGCCGTCAGGAGCAGCACTTGGAGCAGCACTACAACGATGTGCTGCAGACGTTGTCTCAGCGATATGACGAGAGAGCAGCGGGGCTGGAGGAGGAGAAGAAGGGCAAGCTGGAAGCACTGTACAATCAGCTGCTGGCTTGCGGTCAAGCAATGGATGCGTCCAAGGAGCTCATCGAGACGGCCCAGGAGGTTTACCGCAGCCAAGACAAGAGGCTCTTCCTGAAGGTGTGTTTTCTTCATTTGAATGTGCAGATTACAGTTGTATATGATGATGATAAATAGAAGAAATAGAAAAATAGAATGAAAAATGGATAAGTAATATTGATTAGTGTTTCTGCATTTATGCACTTTGTTGTTCACTCGCTTTCTTTGACCTTTACTGACAGACCGTTATGCCCACCATTAAAAGGTAATTACACCGCTGCTCAGTGAGTACCGTATGCCACATAATGTGACTGCACTGGCGGTGATTGCAGTGTGATTTCAAAAGACTAACCATTAATGGCACATGTTGTGTCTCCAGGTTTGCCTGTAGTTTCAGACTAATATTATAATAAGCAGACAAATATTTAGTGTGAGTATAAATCCTTGGCCTTGGAGAAAGTAGTTTGACATAAAAATCCTTACTCAAGGTACACTTACTAGCTTTTTGCAGAGCATTGAGATTGCTCAGTCACATCAATCAAAATACTCCAGGAAAAGCTAGTAAGTGGACCTTATTAATTATGACTGATCCAAATGAATAGCATGACACAAGCTGCTTTACCTTAATGTTAAACCTTAATATATGATTTTTTTTACAATAGAATCAAGGAGTTTGCCAAAGAGGAGCTTGACCTCACGTTGGCCACATGTCTTGAGTTTAACACACCGCTTGCTGACTTGTCCGATGTCAAAACCATGATGGACTCCATCAACGTTGTTCCAGGTCTGACTTACAATCCGCTCATCTGACACAGACATCGATCAATAACTGTGTCTGTGCATTACACAGATGAAGGTTAATATCTGCACAGTTGCCTTTGACACATTGTGCTCTTAGACTGTGTGTAATTACAGCGTAGAGGAGTCTGTGGTGTGGTGGTTGCCTTTAGACAGTTACCTAGCAATTTAGTAGCTTTATGTTTTCATACACAAGGCCAGTGTGTCAATAATCTTTCACAGGAACAGGCATACGTAACTGTTACCACCAGTGGTGCCTGGGGAAGTGGGTAAACTCTTAATTTATGCCCTTTTATTTTTTAAAGCAGCCCGTCCAGTTAGGACAGGATGAAGCTGAACAGGATAAACACCCCGTGTTATAAACAGTGACATGTAAAACTACTCTGGCATATTTACTGCTAGTATTTGCACACTGTTTCACTTCTGCTGCTAGACTTCAGGCAGTAAGGATCATTACGAAATGAACAACAGCAACAGAAGAGGTGCAGATTTTGTAATCAATACTGGCCCACAGAATATAGGATGAGACAATTACATCAGGCATTTTGAGTACTCCACTACTAATTGATGCACATCAGATGGGTTTTAGAAGTGGGTATACCCAATGCTGACTGAGAAATAAGAGGTTACGCTCCATATACTCTGCACTACACCACAGAGCCCACCTTGCTTTCAGGACAGAATCAATTAGTCACAGAATAATCAATACTAGCCCACAGACAGTGTGAGACAACCACATAATTATCCATTTGGAGTGAAGTATTCCTTAGTCCTTACTTACTTATACTTACTTTTCCACTCATGAAAGTTGGACAGCTCACTGAAAAATAAGTGGCGTACCCTGCACTAAACCACTGGTTACCACCCATGATTTAAAGACAAGTTCAATAATGAGAATCCATTTGGAAGTTCATTTAGTGAGGTTAGCAACAGAGAGACTATTACTATTATTAGGTGATTAGACCCCCATCAATTTGAAGCATCATCATCAAGCATAAGCCCATATGAAGATCTGAGATAGGACAGGATCCCTCAGAGTCTAGATGCTGGTGGTGCAGCCAGCAGGTGGATGATTAAAACTATCAGTTGAATCTCTCTGAACATCCTGGAGGTAATAAAATTACACGATTATAATGATATTCAAAAAACAGCATCTAAAGACCTGAGGAACACAGACAGAAGATCATTGCTCAGATAAGGTGAAATCATAATTATAAATGTAGGGACGCAGAGGGGACGGGAAGAAGAAAGGAATGAAGGCAAATTTGACAGGCAAACTTGATTCTCTCTGATCTGGTCCTGTTTGTGTGCGTGATTTAGGAGGGAAGGAATATTTAATATTTTGTGAATAAAACACAGGTGTCAGTGTTGAGCTTAAACTAGAACATTCTGTCATAAGTCATCGCTTTTATTTAAAACTGCTCCTGTGCTATTTAGCGCTTTTAATGGTATGACGTCATATTAAAAAGAAATTAAAAAACACAGGTTAATAATATTTTTCCAATATAAAAACAGCTCCATCTGCCCCAGTAATCAACCCCCAGATGCCCAACTCTGCCTCTCAGACGTCCCTGCGCGTGTGCTGGAGCTTGTTCTCCGACGACACGGTGGAGTACTATGAGCTGTACTACAGACCAGTGCTGGAGGACATGCCAGCAGACAGCACCTGTGCACCACACGGTATAACACAGAGACACTGGCTGCAGATTCACATTGCATGATAACACCATCTACTGTTGAAATGGTATCTATTGATATGGGAATCTTTTAAATTTCTCTGAACGGTGACGTGTTTTGATCAGTACAGTCACATTTAAAATGCTGTGCCCGCTTTTCAGTCAGCACGGTAAAAGTGAAGGAGACCCACTGCACCGTGACAGATCTGCTGCCCAACGCTCAGTATGAACTGTGGGTGACTGCTACCAACACCACAGGCATCAGCCCGGCGAGCGAGAAGGCCTTATACGTGACAGGTAATAAATGTCACACTCCAGCAGCTACACGAGGAGTCATCAACTTGTGACAGTTAAAGTAATTGTCTTGTTGTCTCGGGATGTCCCCTAAAATCACTTTCAGATGTATTTTCCTCTATTTTGTTTTCACCCCAGCCTCATATGATTTATGTTGGAGAAACTAAAGTCTAAATCTTTAATTCCCCTCTGCCTTAGTGCCATCGCCTCCAGTGATCAAGCAGAGAGAGTGTACTAGCTGTCCAGAGGCTGCTCTGATCCGCTGGGAGTCAGGAAACACCAACCCTGTAGACTCTTACACTGTAGAGCTCAGCGAGATGGGTACTGACGGCACAGAGAGCATCGTTACCGAGTAAGAACTGCGTTAACATAAACCTACATTGACAGATTCAACATGGAAACAAACGCAAGGTTTAATTGTGTTTTTCTTGAAATATTTCACACAGAAAGATAAAGGTAAAACAGCTCAGTTGGAGCAGGAATGCTCGACTGGATATTGCGAGCTTCAAAGATGCAGTACCCCATGATATTTGTCTTCACTGGCCTGTCCTTTTAATAAGGCGTTTGCTTCAATACATCCATAAACAAGCCTGTGTTAGTGCTTGCCTGGGCTTTTTGAGGTCCCATGGTTATAGAGCTGCTGAATCAAGACACACTCTGTCCTAGAAAATCTATTCTTAGCTTCAGCTCCTGCAGCACTATAGCCTCAGCTAGAGTACTGTCCTCGCATTTGGGGTCATTTTAATTTTTCATCTGGTCACTTCAGAGAACAGTCAAAGCATTTATTTCAATAGTTTATGTGTTTTTTTGCATAAAGGAGCCTAAACTGCATTAACTGAAATAGTTATGCGGTCCAAATATGAGAAAGTTCCTATTTAACCACCCCGTTTATCCACCTAGTGTTTCAAAAGTTGAGACAATATGTTATTTCAAGGTTTTACACTCTGGTTGAGAGGTATGGAAATAAAAGACAACCCAAGAAAGTTGCCATCATTGTGCATTTAATATATTTGTAAAAAGGAAGTGATGTCAAGCTTCTGTCCCATTGGTTAATCCCCCAGGTCTATAGTAGCTGTGCCCACCTGTCAGTGTCTGATCCAGCTGCAGACGGGACGGCGTTACCTCATCTCTGTAAGAGCAGTCAACATCGGCGGGCCCAGCGTCAGAAGTGAAGCGATTACTGTCTCCACAACAGGTGAGAACGATCATGGAGCAGCCTGTTTATGATACTTTTGGCCAGTGGTGGAAGAAGTATGCAGGTCATTTACTGAGGTAAAAGTATCAATGCCTATTTATGAAAATATCTCATCATAAGTAAAAGTCCCTTATTCAAATTTTTACTTATGTAAAAAGTAAAACTACTTGTGTAAAACAGCCTCTGCCAGTGTTTTTCTCAATATTGATGTATTAACAACATGGTTCCCAATCTTTTTTGTTTGTGACCCCATAATACAAAGCAATGTCTACTTGAATTTAAATACATTTGAATCCTGAAGAGGTCAAACTATAGGTACTATAAGTGTTTCACAAGAAAGAAACCCCAAAACAAATCCAAAAAACAAACCCCTGAGATTTCTCATGACTGATCACATTTTTTAATGAAATCTCAATCTGAAAAGTAACTATAGTTGTTAAATGTAGCGTATATGTAGCATCAAGTGGAAATAACTTAAGTACAAGTGCCCATACTTTGATTGCATTCCACATTTTGCACATTTGCTGACCTGTGCAGGAACGTTCTTCTATCTCCTGGAGGACAGCGCCCACCCCTGCCTGTCCTTCTCTGAAGATGGCTTTACGATATTTTATGGTGACGAGGAGCTGCCGATCAGCGCTATGGCCTTGGGCGATAACACCTTCACCAGGTAAAGTGTACAATGGCTCGTGTGACAAAAAGGACAATAAAGCAAACTTTTAAGATAGCCCTTTATGAGTGTATATAAGTAAAATAAGTGTGTGTGTACAGATGTGTAGCTGTCCTGGGGGATCTGATTCCAGTGCGAGGCAGGCATTACTGGGAAGTTGAGGTGGATGATGGGACGGAATTTAGGATCGGAGTTGCGTATGAGGACACAGGGAGGAACTCGTACCTCGGAGCCAACAATACGTCCTGGTGTATGAGACACATTCTCACTCCATCCAGGTAACAGGGCACCACTTCTGTTAAAATACCCTTACTGTTATTAACCCTAATATTCTGTTTGGGGTCCTTGTTTTCTAGTCCAGTTTTATTACCCATTTCACCCAAGTAACAGGATGACTTTTTGGCAAACATTTTGGAATACATTTTTAACCATATAACCTTTCCTCCACAATTTTCAGTTTGTGGCAGAGGGGTTGCAACTTTAACTTATCTTGATAGTTTTTTTTAATCAGAAACAAGAAAAAAATATTCAAAGTTAAAAACATTGATTTTGCAATTATATTACTTTTACACCCCAAATAATGAGGAAAGTAGTTTTAACACATCGGTTAACTTCTCAGTCACTTTTTTTAAACATACTTTTTATACTTAGACTTTAGACTTCACAGACCAAGTAGATGCAGATTTTTCCGCCAATCTGATATCTCAATTAGCATGCTGAGCCTCTGAGGGACTACTACTGCAGTTCATGGAAACTGGGCCAAGACTATATTTTTAGCCACCAGAAATTTTCCTTTCCTAAGCAAAAAATTGTGCATCCGCTCTATGCAAACCCAAACCCACTGAAGGTAGAAGAGCCCACAGTTGAATATCTGTTACTTTATACGTGTTGCTATGGCAACTCTTCTTGGAACAAAGCAGGACAGCTGAATTGTCACATTTAGTAAATCAAAAGCGGCATATCACACAAGCCCTGAATGTGGTTTCCATTGTGGGCATGCTCTTGGTGATTCTGCCTACGCGCAATTTAACAATCACATTTCTCATTTTCTTTAATCCGCAGCCATTTGAAATCCTGCTGTTGGCTCATGATACAGCATCTGCCTTCCTAATGGCTGACAGCGGGAAAATGATCCCAGACAGGATGAGAGAAATGCTTTCTATTCAGAACGTCTCTGCTATCCACAATCATGTTGCCTTTTTTTTTTTTTTCCCCCTTCAGGCATAAATATGAGTTTCTGCACAATGGCTGGAGTCCTGACCTGAGGATTACAGTGAACCCTGTGCGGATAGGAGTGGCACTGGACTACGAGAGGGGGACTCTGTCCTTCTTTAATGTGGATCTGGAACAACACTTGCATACCTTTCACTGCCACTTCCGAAATTATGTTCACCCCTGCTTTGGCATGGACAACCCAGGAGCTCTTACTGTACATAATGGCATCGAGGCACCGGAGTACACATTCATCTGACACCAGCAATAATAGTATTACCATGACATAAAACCCAGGGCTGCTAGGAAGTGAAGTGAAAAACTTATTTATAACACTTACCAAAGCTGAGTGACATCTTCAATAAAGAAAACCCAAATTCATAAAAACAAAAAAACATATCTGCTGATCTTTCTCAGCAGTATAAAATGTGTGTGACCTAAAGACAATAAGGGGTTTTCAGTTCTTTTTATTATAGTATTCCATGGGAACAGGCATACACCATTTTCCAATATAAGAAAAGTTTCACTGAATTTTACAATATGTATTTATACCATCAGCAACTGCAGCAGACCAAGTGTTTCAGTTCAAAAAAGGAAATAAGGGGCTTGTTTCTGATAAACCAAAAGATGCTTTGAAAAATGAAATAAAAGTGTTTTAAGAAAGAAAATCCACTTGTAGTTATTATACATTTGTATTCACATCTTAAAAAGGAAAAATCCACCCTGAATACTTACACACTGTTAAAAAGTGGCAATTTTGTTTGATAGTGGTATATGTTTTGTGAACAGAAGATTTCTCTGCCATGTAAGAGATTGGCAAGTGCACATTTTACAGTCAAAAAAAAATAACAGCAATAACACAACGGAGAAAAACAGTAGAAAAGATTTGTATTTCTAAAACCATAGCCTCAAAATTTCCTAATGACATGTAGCCACAAGATGTGTTGCACTTTAAGTCATGTGGCTACACACACACACACACACACACACACACACACAAAATGAACTAGTTGGCGGGCTATCTATATTTCTATATTTACATTTGCTTTAAAAAAAGGTGGGCATATATTTAAATGCCCACTTTTGACTGAGACCAACAGGTTCACACCCACTGGGTGGGGTTATAGAAAGACATTCTGGGAGAAACATGAAAAAACTAACTGAAACAGATGTACACAAAGCAAAACCTACACCAGGACAAGAAAGTAAAAACCCACCCATCTTCCTTAAAAGTCCAGGAAAGACCCGGTAAACCAGAAACCAGTGATAAGTTAAAGACCATAACAGTGGTTTGTTTGATTTTTTTGCAGCCTAGCTTTTTTCTGCTATACAGTAAAGACCTGTATTTAGATTCCTAAAATGGATGTCCATGTCTGCTTGGGTGGAAGAAAAAAAATGTCAAACTTAAGTATTTAACGTCTTGCTTGGGAAATTGTCAAATATGAATTTGTTCTTTGTAGTAAATGAGGTAAAACATGGCAAAACACTGGTATAGTCCTAAAACTCTGTGTGATAATGCAAGAGTGGATTTTTCCTTTTATGGGATTTGAGAACTGTTTTAATATACTAAATGTAGATTTTGGGTCTGTGGGGATCCTGGGCAGTGGGGATGGGGCAACACAGGGGTTATGAGTTATCGGTCTTACTGCTGCGTATCCTCTCCTCCTCTTCATCGGAGGAATCTCCTCCGTAGGGCACTAGCCCTGATGCATCTTCGTCCACTTTAGACTTCTTCTCGCACACCTCCTCTTTAACACCTGTAAGGGCACAATAAAAATGGAGAGAGAGAGAAAAGTAGAGAGAAGGTGGGACACATGAGAGACAGAGAGAGGGTGGGGTGGGGGTGGGGACAAAGAGAGAGAACAAAACAAAAAGGAAACCCATTGAGGAGCCCCATGTTAGCGCCGTTTTTTGAGTTCGTTTGATCCACAGCCAGGGGGAGGGAAGATATCAAATGAAACGGCAGCAGAGCACACATCCATAACAGGCAGGTCCCGAGACACATGTTGAGAGAGAAAACAAGGGAAAGACAAAAAACATATACAAGAAGAGCGTGTTAGTAGGTTCTACCAGTGGAGAGATTCACACAGGTCTCCACTCCTCCCCAATTCCTCCATGGGGGGAGATGCCATTTCATGCAACAGACAACTCAACAAATGTCTGAGGACTCAGGCTCTCAGAATTTTAGGAAATAAGGAAATGCATACCCATTGAAGCGCTGCTGACAGGCAGACTGACTGGATCTTCTGTTACCGCGTCTCTCGTCCGTTTGCGTGCAACAGGGGCAGGTAGCACAAAGGGAGGTGGCGGTGGAGGCATCAGAATCCTAAAGAGAGAAAAACATCAACATCTACAGCGCTCATGATTCATGTAGAATAACATACAAGAGAAATAAGATCTATTAACACACCTTTCTACTACTTTCTCCTCTTCAACACAGGAGGCAGGACGTTCAGACTCCTGATGAGCAGGACCCTCTGGAGAGCTGCTGGTAGACTAAACAGAGAAAGAACAAATCATTAAAGACAATTCAAAACTTTAATAAATAAAAGAAGAGATTTCCTCCATAAGAAACATTTTTCAGCATGCGCAAATGCTTAAAGTTGTTTTTAAACTTTATTTTTTAGAATAAACTTCAAACATTTCTTTTATCATTTTAACTAGATGGTTTTTACTTCAAACGGTTCAAGAGAAGTCTCATGACACAGCATTGTGAATTTAACCAAGCCTGAAGTACTTTCAGTGTTGACTGTTGATGCTGGGAATTTCCAAATGGTCAGCACTGTATCCATTTTTAGGCTAACACAGTGATGCAGCTTAAAACACTTCCGTTGTCAAAGAACACTGCTCACCCTTGTTTAATAGCCATTTGTATTCTCGATGGTAATGTGACAATTAAGCATTTATGTAACTCACTACTAAACTGAAATGGATAAGCAATATAATTGTTCTCCCCTATGAACAGTGAAAACTAAATGGTTAAACTGCAGTAACTCAAACAAGTTGAATGAAAGATGTGTTAATGTTAAAGTGGCCAGAATTATGTTCATCATCAGGTGATTCTCTTTAGCGAACCTGTTCCTCCTTAGCCCCCTCCTGGAAATGACGTTTGGGACTTCCTGAATCAGCGGGGGGGTTTAAAGATCCTTCAGGCTCCACTGTCTCACTGCTGCCAGGATCCTTCAGTAAAGCAAAACCAACACATACACACTGATGCAGCAGCACGATTGGAAAGAACTAAAGTTTCACAAAGGTCTCCACGGGTTTCAGGTGCCTGAACATTAAAGTAAGGATGGTTACATAAACAATGAGCTCAAACCTATTAATATTTTGTTTTTTTAAACTTGTCGTGTGTGCAGATTCAAACACATGCTGAAATTAGCAAATGGTCCATTTTTGGTGGCTAAACATAAGGCTGTAGTACTTGCGACAAGCAATTTAAAAATTCGTTTTGGCATTTTACAGTCCAAGTTAATCAACAATACTAATAACTAATACAAGAATCCTGAAACAATAATTAGTGGCAGCATTAATCTTGGGCAATTACCTGGACGAGATAGGGATGCGGTTTCCTAGGACACACCGGATACTGAACCATTGCCTGAGAAGATGGAGGGTTTGTCGACATGTTAGAATGAGTTGGGGGACCATTTGCATTACTCCAATAACCACTGGCTCCTGGGTACGCTGAATAGCCGCCAGCATACCCATTTGCTGGGTAGTTATACCAGGATCCCTGGCTAGAGTAATTGCTATTAGGTGGAAATCCATGTGCTGCGTATGCTGAAATGAAAGTATAGAATGTGGAGTTAATAGCATATATCACACGAATCAACTGTTTTGAAAAGTGTGACCTACTATTTCAACCTATTGTTGAGCCACTAAAGACGTCAAAGGAGGATTAATTACCACAAGAACAATGCAGACAGCTAGTACCTGATATTTGGTCACCCTTTTGGAATTAGTTACAAGGTGTAAAAAAGAAAGTACTCACGTTGTGTTGAGCCTGTGGCTGTGTACATTGACACCATGCGGGCATGTTCAGCTCTCACCTGGAGAATGAGAGGGGAAAAAAAACTATATAAAAGAGCTAAATAACAATCTACAAAGGCTGTGTTGATTGATTTCCAACAGTTGAGTTGCATTGTGGGTAGGTGCAGAGCACTCAAGACCTATCTCTGGAGATCAGGTGGTTCACACTACCACTTTCACTTTAGGAGGTGGGTATCGGTGAAAACTATATGCTTTAGTAGTTTCACCTTCTTAAACCTCCCATTAGACTAACATTTAATTCACTTACTTCAGTTAGTTTAATTTGTGGTGAAAATATCATGAACTTACAGTTTCCAGCAGACTCTCTGTAAGTTTCTTCGCTGCCTCCAATCCAGTTGCATTTGGGTGGCTGTAAAACACAAATTAGTGACATTGTTAAATATGATGAAAACAGATGAAACAGATTCAGGACAGAACTAACAGAACACAAAGAAGTTTTAGCTTTTATATGCAAGCAGGGCTTTTTATATGGCTGTTTCAGAAATGAACAAAAACTTTTAAATTCCCTTCATTAAATCAGAATTGATTCGTTTAAGGAAAGGGATTTGTCTTCTTGTTTGAGCAGGTACATTTAGGTTAATTCATTTAGCTCCATTTTGTTTATTATTATGCTGTTTACCCACCCTGAAGACAAAATAATGTAATGTTTTGTTGCTGGTGGTTCGGGGGAACTGGGAATAGGAGAGTCTCATTTTCATGTTGCACCTGGGTTTACATTCTCTTACAGATGGCTATCCAAATGAAACAAACTTTCATGCCACCAGGTTCTACTTTTCAGCCTTGCAGTGTGATGAGCACAACCACACAAACAGAGTTGAATTAGAATCCTATAAGAGGACTTGAAATAAATGAAAATGAACGAACATACCTGATGTAGACATAAAGAGGCTCAAAAGACTCCCGTTTTGATGCTTGTTCAATGTAGCCAGAAGTTTTTCCCCTGAGAAAGACTCGAGCCCCCGTCTCTGTCTGGATGTGACTCAGGTACGAACCTCCTGGACCCTCAACCTTTTCATTCACGTTGAATGAGGGCAAAGCCTGGTCCAGACCCACAAAAATCTTTGTGTGCACAAAACTCTGAGGATAAGGGAAACATGTGACTCATTATTATGCCCTGCACATTTAGGTTGTTTATAGATGTCTAAAATAAAGTTTGACTAGAGGTAGAGCAGCTTTGTAAGCAGATGCAGTTATCCAAGGTGTTTTTCTTATAGACCTCGGATGTTCTCACTGCTACTTAATTTTGGAGGTGGGTATCAGTGAAGGCAACATGGTCTTCATTTGCCTCACTTTCTTTACCTCCATTTGTAAAATCATGACTGACACAATAAGAAGCCACAAACAATCAATATTTAAAACACAAGACACCCCAGCTGCATTATGAATTGCATACAATATAATCCCAATGTTAGTGCATGTTATGTAATCATGTTACACATCCAAATGAATGACCTTTTGTTTTAACCTCATGTGCTTGAGGGCCTTTTAACCAGATTTATAGGCTAAACATGTCAAAAATACATTTTCATATATTTCTATCACACAGTTGTAGTAACACATTTTTAAAAAATCTATTCGATTGTTGGTCATTCATTTTTCTTCTGATATAAATCCCACACTTCTATTAAACTAACCACCTCTATCAGCAGTGTTTACAGCATACACTTGGTTGTTATCAATAACCACCGTATTTGAGGCCAATCACTGATCGCTAGAAGCAGTATCAGCTGATCCCGATCACTGGGTCTATTTAAAGACTTATGTTTATAGTGTATACTTGTGTATTATTTACTGTTCTTAACAACATTGTATATTAAGTATTAAAATTAATTATTAACGGTTCATATACCGGGCAAAATAAATGTGTCAGCTTATTGGCTCTTCTGATTGACGTTTATAGAGACCATCAAACTAATTACAGTTAACATTAACTATTACAATAGGTAATAAACTGCAACTATTGAGTGTGCTCAATATTCGTCTCTGTCCCTTGAAAAAACAAGTCATGGGACAGAGATAGAGATAAAAACAAGTAATATTAGAGTACAAAAGAGCTGCTGATAGTAAGAGGTTACTCCCTTCTACGAGGCACAGTGTGGACATATGTATGACATGGTAACATTTTAGCGATGAATCCCCAGGACACTTAACAGATTTCACCACCATTTGTAGCAAAGTGAACTTCAACATAGACGTAAAGTCTGCCCACCCCTGAATGAGGAGCCGCAGGTCGGTGTCCCTGGCCTGGCACTGAGTTGGTGTTGGGCATCCGCGGCGCAGGTGTGGGAATGACGGGGCGAGGAGGCTGAGGGTAGAGGGTGAGCGGAGGCATTACAGGTACCTGCTGTCCTGACGCTGCTGAGGCCCTTAACAGGTCCTCAGAGATTATCTCCTTTATCCTCACCACAGCCTCTAATGTTGCAGAAAAGTTAACAATGTTTAGACATCAGCCAGATTGAATCCCTTGCCACATAGAACAGGAATGCTTATGACATTTGTGAATTACATTGGATGAAGATAATGAGTCTGTATATCGAGCCAATGAAAAAGTGCTACTTACTATTGACCTGCTCTTGATTCTTTCCCTGGACATGCAAATACAAAGGTCTTTGTCTGGAAAAAAACAAACAGATCAGAAATGTCATGGACAAACAGAACTTCTGCACTCTTAGAAACATCTGTTACTATAAGAACATGATTTTTTAATTTAGATAATTACCAAAAACCTAGTCTACCACCTGGCATCAGGTTAGCCCGTCTTATAAAACTGGGGTGAAACTTTAATATATGGAATATTACTTTTGCAGGACATGATGTTGGCATGTTTTTATTGAAGATGTCCCAGGTTGGTACCAAGGATAAGTGTGCAACAAGGTTACAACTGTTATATCTATTAATCAGGTACAAATTTAGTCAACATTAAGGTAAATAAAAGCCTCAGATCGGACTCTGATCGGACTCTGCAGATAAAAAAAAAAAAAAAACTTGATTGTGACATCCAGTCTTAGTACATACCCTGCTTTACCCTTTTCAGCTTCGGTCATGAAATGGCCTTTTGTTGAGACGACTGCTCCACTAAACTGTCGGATCTGAAAAAAGTAAGTTTGATTAAGACATTTAAAGCTGTTTTTCGTTTTTTAAGCTTTTCGTAACTTCTTTTCTCACTTTGCCCATTTTATTAACTAGTACGTTGTGTCACACGTAACACTGCCATGGCCACTTTCCACTTACCTCCTCCTGTGTTTTGCCTTTAGTAAGAAGGTCCCTGCAATTTAGCGGTACGTCGTTTATGTCGACCTCCGTGACCACCATCTCTTCTGCAGCGGCTGGCACAGGCACACTTGGAGCGGTCTAAAAGACATGTGAAATGAAAACAGTAAGCCCTCAATTCACTGCATAAACAAGACATAATGTACAGATATTTGCCACAGTTTCACAAGCCATGTGCACCTTTGCAAGTAACGGCGGAGGAGTCAACAGCTTTCCTTTCGCCATCAACATGGCATTTATTTTAGCAGCCATCGCCGCAGCCATTTCAACTCCTCCCTGGGGCGCTGGCGTTTCTCCCGTCTGTGGCGGCTGGGACACTGTACTGTTTGAACCTGCAGTGCCCACAACTCCTGATAAAGACACAGGGTGGCCTGCATTTTGACTGCTCCTCTGCTGCCTTACATCCACACTCTGTTTAGGTTGGGCTGGCTGATCCCATCGGCTGGTTAGGCACCTAAAAAAAAGAAACAAACAACAAATGCAAAATGTTAAATAAGCATAGGTATAACAATTCATTTTGACTACATCATACATGCATATATTAGCAACCTGTGTGTTTTATCTGTTTGGACACACCCGGTTATATTTCCCCCCCAAAAAAAACACACAAAACCACACTAATAACTTTTTTTGGGGGGATGGTTGTTTATGGCAACCAAACGTTAACAGATATGTTTTACTGGTGTGGAGCTGTTTAACAAGTCACTGAGGTATTTGGAAGGCAACATATATTTTAAATTAGTTAATGAGTTCATCGTTTTCAGCGAATTAACAACAAACCAAAGTCAGATAACTAAACACTGAAGCTAAGCTAACTTAGCAACTTACGATATATATATTTTTTTTTTACTAACACACTTATTTAAGCCTTATATATATATATATATATATTGTTCGACTATTCTGATAAAGTACAATCAGGTCAGCCTATTGGTGTTGGATTTTAATTTATAAAAAAAAAAACAATAACCCCACAAGCTATCATTTATTAGCAGGCCACGACCATGAATGCTAACAGATTGCTCAGCTGTATTTAGTGTTAACTCAAGTTACCGAATGTATTCACAACAAACAGACTGTAGGGAGGAAAGAAAACAACTCACGGTGTTTGTCCAGTCATTCCCGAAGACATAGCACCACTCCGCTAAACCTGCAGTCGGATAAAAACAATGTCTAACGTAGTTGACGCTGAACGACGGCAGCCATCGGTCTGCTCTCTCTGGCGATTTATTCTGACGATTGGTCGCAAAGTGTGACTTTGGCGGAAGTTGTGTTGTTTTCCTGCGACTTTATCTCCAAATAACTTCAGTTAACTTGTCAACAATATGTTTAAACATCGTTTTGGAAAACACATAGCACCTGGAGTGTGAGATGTACTCTGTATTTTGATTTAAAATGTGTAATTAAGGTTTAAAGTTTAGAAGAAATTTAAAAACTTAAAGTTGCAGTAGGTTATTTCATTTTTTTTTTTT